AGCTATAGCTTAATTTAACTTTGTTTTTATTAAATATTTTATGGAATTCAGAAGGGTTAATTGAGTAATTTGAAAAATATTTTACGTATTTTATACTTGACTTCTAGCTTAACAGCAAGATTAAATAAAAATATATTTCTTTCCCTCGAATTGTATTTCATTTGTTGTTTTGAGATTTAAATTCCATTTTGCTTTTTATGAAGATACCGAAAGGTTGAAACCAAGGTAGAGTAATTGGCTAATTTCCTAACTTTTATATATATATATATATATATATATATATATATATATATATATATATATATATATATATATGGTTATAGAGTGGATAAATGAAACGGCCAAATATAAGCAGGCGTGTGCTAGTGTGCGTACGCAGGCAAGCGACTTCCGTCAGCAAACACCCCGTGCCTGACGAACTGGGAACACCACCCAGCGAAACTATAATCGCGTGCCGAAAACGGAGGTACGCGTATATGTACTAATTAATATATATATATATATATATATATATATATATATATATATATATATACGCATACATACACACAGAGATTTTTGAAACCAATGAAAATATATATATATATATATATATATATAATATAACATATATATATATATATATATATATTATCAATGATAGTATATATATATATATACAGAACTTATATATAATATATATATATATATGTATATAACAATATATAACACATTGATATATATATATATATATATATATATACACAGATTTTGACACCAATGAAAGTATATATATATATATATATATATATATATATATATATATATATATATATATATGTCATCTGCAGACAGTCCTAAGTGCGACTAGACAACTGAATGCCTCAAGCCTGGATCAAATCCCAACCGATTTGGTGTCAGTCAGATCTTCTACCACTGAGCCATGTTCACTCAACAGATGAACGAGTCAGCCAAATCTAGCGTATTGTTTTAACATACGTAAACAAACGCCAAACAGCCAAAAGTACTCCATTCATGTTACTGATGAGCTTCGCCTCTACGCAGGTGACCGTTGTTTTTAGAATTAGCTTGTCCTTCAACAGTGCTCAATTGAAAATAGATTTTCAAGAGCTAATAATGTCAAATTTCGAAGTCAGTATGGCTGAAAAGGTCATCTACTGTAAGTTTGAGCCACGGTTCATACATTTCACTATTTTTGGCAGAACTTCTATGATCCCAGTGTGGGACATCTACTAACAGAAATGATGAAATCGGCAAGGTTAAAAAAAAATAAAAATTTTGAAATTATCAGCATCCCTCGTTCATGCTCATGTGTGGTCGCACCAATATAACAAATTTAATCTAAAGGACGAAACGCGTCAGAAGAAAACTTTTTACATTTTTCCCCATTATTTTCCTGGTATATAAAAACATATATCGTCATCTCATACGCACACACACACACATACACACACACACATACACGCACACACACACACACACACACACACATATATATATTTGTGTATGTATATATATATATGTATGTGTGTGTGTATATATATATATATATACACACAAATATCAGGTCATCCCATAAGTTCTGTCCGAATTTTGAATAAAGAAAACAAGTGACCAAATGTTACATTTAATTACAGATTCAATCAACAATGTATTTTCCCTGATTATCTATGACTTCCTTCCATCTATTGACACGCTTACTAATTACATTACTGTAAAATTCTTTTGGCTTTGATTCGAAGAACTCACAAATGTCAGTTTTAACCTCTTCCTGTGTTACAAAAGCTGGTTCTTCCAAATGATTCTGTAAGCTACGAAACAAATGGTAGTCTGAAGGAGCAAGATCGGGAGAATAAGGTGGATGTGGAAATTTCTCCCAACCAAGTTCTTCGATCTTTTGTGACGTGATTCTTGCTGTGCGGGGTCGCGCATTGTCCTGATGAAACATCACCTCTTTTCGATTCACTAGAGCAGGTCTTTTTCCTCAAAGCTTGGTTCAAACGCTCTAATTGCTGACAGTATATTTGAGCATTAATTGTTGCATTAGGTAGTAAGAATTCAAAGTGGATTATTCCTTTGGCGATCCCACCAGATTGAAAGAAGAACCTTTTGCCCATGAAGTTCCCTTCTCGGCTGTAGCTGGGATCCTTCCCCTTTACCAAGCCCCTGTCTACGACGCTAAACATTTCGATAAAAGATCCTTTTTTTCGTCGCCAGTCACAAGTCTATCCAAAAAAGGTGTAACAAGTTGGCGAGAATGGAGAGAAGAGCAGATGTCAACTCGGGATTTGAGGTTGTTTTCAGGCAATTCATGAGGCACACATTTTCCAAGTTTAGGAACTTTTCCAAGTTGCTGAAGATGACGATGAACAGTTGTATGGTTTGAACTGAGAACCACTGCCAACTCCTCAACTGATAAAGCATGATTTTCTTCAAGGGCTGCTTCAAGAAGCTTTTCATCAAACTCAACTGGACGTCCGGTTCGATCTTCATCTTCAAAGGTGAAATCTCCACCTCTGAATTTTGCAAACCATCTTCTGCAAGTTCTTTCACACATTCCTCTCCATAAACTGGTGAATGTTTCTAGCCACTTCGGCTGCTGAGTTTCCTTTCTTGAACTCATAAAGCATCATGTGCCTCAAATGATTCTTGGGTACTTCCATGTTAGCAGGGTTTTAATCAAACAAAAATTAATTTTATTGTTCTCTGAAATAAAATTTGATCAGTTTAAATGCATCTAAACATAAAAATAATGTTCAGCTCCATTAGACATTATAAAATACTCTTTAAATTTCGTTCATTTTAACAAAAACTTAAAATTCGGGCAGAACTTATGGGATGACCTAATATATATATATATATATATATATATATATATATATATATATATATATATATATATATATATAGAGAGAGAGAGAGAGAGAGAAAGCATATAATATACATATATTGAAATTATAAGAAAGAACAGTAAAATTTATAAACTGGTCTTCTTAGCAGTTATTTTTATTTAAAAAAACAGTGCTTGATACAAACAGTAGAGCAAAAATAGTTTAATATATATATACATACATATATATATATATATATATATATATATATATATATATATATATATATATATATATATATATATATATATATATATATATATATATATATATATATATATATATATATATATATATATATATATATATATATATATAGAGAGAGAGAGAGAGAGAGAGAGAGAGAGAGAGCTAGAGAGAGAAAGTGAGGGGGTAGAATTCGACGAGGAATAAGTAATATGTCTTCAAGGAAAGAGAAAGCGAGTGTCGTATTCTCCTCGTTTTCCAATGCTTTCCTGTCCCATCCCAGACATTTACCCCTCCGTTCACATTTCCTTATCCCCAGAAGTAATTACTGCCAGCTCAGGCCGAGATCGACGTCTCTACAGGTTGGAGTTGTCACCAACAAATCTAATGTCACCAAGGGACTTATCGTTGCTAACAACGATCTCCTAGCAACACAATGATTTCTACTCGACTTTTTCTCCGGTTGACTATTGATTTGCAGTTGGCATTAACTACAAACCCTGATAACAATCTCCATCAGCCTCGTTAGTATCGTCCATTGCATTTTACATTCGACTCGGAAACGAGATCAAAGGACTGCTACCCAAAAGGATAATGGTTGTTAGTCGTCTCCCAACAAGAGTAAAACTGACACAAGGACAAGTTTAATGAGAAACCCTCTACGTGTATGTACAGTTGTGGGGAGAGATAAAATTATTGTTTCCGCCGTTTGTGTTGCAAAGGCATCAATGACCCTATCCCTTTTTTTAATATAATAAAGAGGTGTCACCCCAAGGTTTGAACCCCCTAGACCACGCCTAGTTCATTTATACCAATATTTATATTTTGCTCTGCCCACCCACTTTCTGGTATTAATGTACGTAGTCACCTACTGTATTATAATTGCATTAGTTAATGAATCTGAGTTAAAGCAGCATAATTAATGCCACGTGTTTCTCATCTGTTGCATTATAACGGCATCACTCACCGGAAGTATATTGTGGCGGGAACAGCCAATTAGCTGTCACCAAGCTGGTCATCAAACCGCCAGATTTTGATATGCATTCTTTTTGCGCTATACACATATTACAATTACATGAAGATTTTTCATATATTAAATTTTAAAACGTATAGTTAAAACATATAAACAAAAGGCGTATATAAATTGCCTACGAGTGTGTGAGCAACGATTAGGTCTCAGAGAGGTTGCAAACAAGGAGGTGGCTTATGCTTAATATCAGGAAGAGGCAGCTGAAGTTTCTGGAACACATAATGAGGAAGGAGGGCCTGGAGAATCTGATACTCACGGTTTGAATAAAGGGAAAGAGAGAGAAAGGAAAACAATGCATGACATACCTGGCGGGCTTAAGCAAGTGGATGACAGAACGTGGTCTGGAGGAGGTGGTAGAGGGAGGGAACTTGTTGAGAGCTGCAAGGGATAGAAAGAGGTGGAGAGCCATAATCGCCTACGACCTGAAAGGACATGGTACATAAAAAGAAAAAGAATCAGGTTTTGAAAGTTTTAAATCATTTATTAAAAGTATAGCACTCCATAATGTTTTACACAGTCACATGGCCGCAGTGGCCCATGGCTGATCTGGTCGAAGGTATCGGAAAGCGATACTCCTTCCTAAAATATTTACCCCCCCCTCAACTCTGAAACCAATTTGACAAGTTTTATCAAATGTATGGAGGAATGAATATAATAAATTATAACTGAAAACAAAGTTCGACAGCTTCTAAATTCAAAACCGGCCTGGAGAGTGTTGGGCTCCGTTAGGCCATCTTGCCCATGAAACACAACTTCTACTGCAGCTTCAGTACATATGGTGTCCATACAACACTACAAGTCCCGGGATATAAATTAATATAGTTGTGTGTATGTATGTGCGTCGTCAGCTGTATTTATGGGAGAAGAGTGCTTAATAATCGAAGACAGTACGTTTATAAATCAATAACAATGTAATAGATAGATAGATAGATAGATAGATAGATAAGGAAAAGATTGCAATAACCATAGATAAATAAATAGATAGATAGATAGATAGATAGATAGATAGATGAGGAAAAGATTGCAATAACCAGATAGATAGATAGATAGATAGATAGATAGATAGATGAGGAAAAGATTGCAATAACCAGATAGATAGATAGATAGATAGATAGATAGATAGATAGATAGATAGATAAATAGATGAGGAAAAGATTGCAATAACCAGATAGATAGATAGATAGATAGATAGATAAGGAAGAGATTGCAATAACCATAGAGATAGATAGATAGATAGATAGAGAAGGCCCGTCTACGAAACTGGAGTCGAGATGATGAAGGTAACATCAATCAGCTGAGTGACAAACTTTATACTTGTATCAATTCTAAATAGAAATAAATAAAGATAGATAGATAGATAGATAGATAGATAGATAAATAAATAAATAAATAAAATCTCAACTAGAATAATAGTATGTTTGCGGGTTTTTGGTGTTTACGACATGTTAACAGATTTTTTGAACGGGGTACGGTGTACCCACTGAGGTTCGAACTCATTACTCAGCCTCGTCTCGTTAACCATTACCCATTTCTGAATTGCTTGCTTAAATAATATCATTACAGTTTTGCTTTGATGTTGCAAAAGAGAAAAAATTCTGCGTTAAAATTTATTTCTCTTTCTTATTAACTCTTAAAATTTGGATATACGAGGGTGACATTCTATTAGTTTATACCAGGATTCGGTTTCGTTTTTAATTAGTTTTCTAATCGCCTTATTAATTTTTTGTGTTTCAGTAATTATTTTCTGTTCAATTATTTTTTTTCAAATCCACAAAGCAGGCATCCCAATGCACCCCATTATTTCAGATATTGGCAGCGCTCTCCAAAAAACTGGCGAAAGTCATAACAAAAAAATTAACTCTTGAACTATAATACGTTTTCTCTGAAGCGAAAAGCGTTTCATTTCTTTTCCTCTTTTTTTTTCCTTGCGTGAAACTCTTGTGTAAACCTCATTGCTGAATTTCTAAGGTCGCTATTTCTTGGCGGACATTGACCCTGGCTGAAAATGACGTCCATTTTCTTGGAGATTCTTTCAAGATTTGAACAGAAATCGAATGATCTCTTCCAGACTGCAGGGAAACCGCAGACCGTAACGGAAGTTGTCAAAACCATTTGGAAACTAATTTCGGTCGTGCTGATTTCCACTCATCGTCAACTGTCAGATCCGTGCTTCGTTGAAGATTGATTTCGTCCTGGATTTTTATCGGCTTTCATCTCCATGACGTTGAATTCATTCATTGGTTCTTTTTCTCAGAAAATTGAGAAGACAAGTGCCTTGCTTTTGGTGGAGTTTTTTTTTCTTAGTCGGTGAAAAGTAGACGACTTCCTTCGATTTGAATTGTCTGATGTTGTTTGAAGATTCCAATGTTAAAAATGTTTGGGTTTTTTTTTCCGAAAGCAATTCTAGAATTTACGCGTGCTAATTAACCAGAACACTTAGAGGTAAAAAGTCTCCTGCTCTTGTTGAGAAGCAAACATTTTCTTATTTAATAATGAACCTCACCAGTTCTACACTTAAATGTTATGTTTAAAGTTAACGGCTATTCCTGAATCAGACAAGAATGGGCTTTAGTTTCAAACTCTTGGGATCGAATATGAAGTCAACGCTTATCATAGTAAAAGTTATCATTTGTTTTCAAAATCTGTTTATATTTCTGAGATAAGGTATTATGTATAGTATTTACATTATTCGGACTATTGTCCTCATCTTTGTTGCCATGTTTATCATATGGCACAGTGGATAAAGGTGTTAGTTAGATCCAGTGACAGGACCCGAAGAATGTGAGTTCAATATCTGGTTAAGGCAGTGGAGAACTTTCAGAGGGGGATTAACAGGAGATAACTGACATCCATTAAACATGGCACGTGGAACTAGAACTGTCTACCCCAGTGAGCGAAATAAAGGGTTCAGTTCGACATTCCAACCACCTAAAGAAGGCCGGAGCGTACAACGGCCGAAACATTGTAATAAATATGGCGAAAAAGATGAGAACAATAATTCGAATAATGTAAATAGTGTTTTAGTGATCTTCAGATAAAAATGTTTCTTTCAAATAATAATCTTTTTCTCGATATTTAAAATAATAATAATAAAAAAAGAAAGAAACTAGAGCACTCGGGAGCCATTATAAAAAAAAGTTAAAATAATTTCAATGTAGCAACTAAATGAAAATTTATTTTGAGATAATCTATTTAAGTATTTAAATTTATTCCTGTTAGTAATAATTCAAAACACTATTTGATTACTGATCGTAAATAATAAGGAAGAGCAACTGAATTTAAGAATTAACTAACAATTTATAAATAACAGCTGAAAACTGACTTAACGTTGTTATTACAGTAGATATAAACATTTATCTGACACTGATAAATATACATTGACAGCATTTGTTTTTCAATCAGTGTCACCCCATGCAAGGCAGTAAAGCCACTAAGACACAATGGGTTACACGGCGTGAAAGAGTTAAGAACAGAATCATTAATAATGAGCGGGAAGAAGAGAAAGTAATCAGGACATGTGATAGCGATTGGCATTGCATTTAAATTCTTGCAGATTAAAGTTGTCTGGAAAGCATGGAACCGGAAACCACAAGCGAGAAGTGAGAGAAAAGTAATTGTTAGCATAGAATTTACGGCTACATCTAGCCAGCTCAACTGTAAATTGATGAGATCTCGACGCTGGTCTAGTACTGCGCTTAAATTCATAATGTCAGGGTACCATCGCGAAGAGCTATATTTATTTCTGCTTATTTACAGAAAATGTAACACAATGTCAAAAATGGGGATTGCGGAAAAAGGACGGTCTTCTTCTCTCTTAATATTAAACTTAGCGAGCCGCAAACGCTGATCAAAACATACAAACAATATTCCTGACATCAAAACAACATATTCTTACCTACCTTTCTTACTGTATCCAACAATATACCTCATTGTCTTTATGAAAGAACTAATTAGTCCCTATATGTACAATTAATTACCAAAAGATGCATTTTTCTTGCATACATATATATATATATATATGTATATATATGTGTGTATATATATATATATATATATATATATATATATGTGTGTGTGTGTGTGTGTGTGTGTGTGTAATTGACTCTCCCGTCGTGTTCGACGTATGAGGTTCCGACGACCACGAACTAATTATCTGCATGCCTATGACGAGCATGACTTTTGAGACTGGCTCAAGAATTGCACAAAAGACTACAAACAGTACAGGATAATGTATTGAATCCAAATGCAGCAGGAACACTGTTAGATGTCTTATTTTGCTTTCTCATTTCATGTAGTTGACTGATGCTTACTCCTCAGTGCAGCTATATCAGTGTTGTACTTCTTTAGCTCCAATGCAACCAGAGCTGTTTTTCTTTCTGATGCTGAGTTGTTGTTCTGGAGAGTTCATACATTCCAAGTGCCAAGATGAAGTTGATGTTTTTCGCAGAGTTTTTCGCAGTAGCCGGATATGTGTGGAACTAATTAGATGTAATTGTCAGAAAACCAACACAATGATTTGTTTCAAGTGCTGATATATATTGCAACAGCAAAACCTCCCACATATTCCTTCCAGAAATCCCTCTCATATAACAGTAAGATATTAGTGGCAATGGAGTCTTAATCTACCTAATGCCTTACCATTATGTGGAAGGTATATGAGGAAAGTAATTCTGACACATCTCGTATATATATATATATATATATATATATATATATATATATATATATATATATATATATATATTACTCAATACCAGGGATAGAGCGTATATAAATATAAATATTGACACTGAGGTCAACGATGAACGGTGGCGGTTTGTTTCATGTTTGAACACAAAATTAAAGCCTGAAGATTGCGTTCAAGCATGAAACAGACTATCGCCTCTCGTTGCTGACCGCAGTGTCCACATGACAGATAGATAATAAGTAGACTGAGATAGATAGATAGATAGATAGATAGATAGATAGATATAATCGTACTATTCTGTAAATAATTGTTGCTTTAATTACTAAAATCAATCTAAAATTCATATCGGTAACAAAGAAATAAATGAAGTCAGACGAAGATATCATACGTGGACCATTGTAGGAGTCTGGAAAGATGGCTTCTGTTTATATTAAACAGGGAAAAACATGTTCGCTGCTACAGAGGAGGCCAGAACACACACAGGAATGAAGGAGTCTTCCTCTCAGCAAAAACTCTCACCTAGAATGCTGCCCAATATTCAGCAAGATTGTTGTCATCGGACTGCTGACAATACCCACTTTAATATCACAATTTAAAACCTGTATTCCCCCCTCAGACTTTGATGACGAACAGGTGAAGGTTATTGTCAGAAATTATATGAAAGATATCCTTTATACGAAATTCCAAAATCCGCAAGCTTTTCAGGTGCTGAAATGACTTGCCACAAACGGAAAATTTCAGAAAGCACTGGGAAGATTCTTAGGTGATGTTCAGCTGTGTTCAGTGACCCTCATTTTCCCTGGGTGGGAGTTCCTCACCCCAACTATGTAGCCTGCGTTGTCGCCAACACCTTCATTTGTGGATTACTTACCAATTGTTTCGCGCTCAGTAAAGATATTCAAAATGTCAAAAAGATCCGGCATTTATATATTTCTGTTAAGTAGTGATCATGTTTTTTTTTGTACACGTAAAGAAAGTACAAAACAATTATCTTTATGTGAAATCTTAATTGCACCATTTAAAAATCTGTGTGAGCATTACATGACTAGCATCCCTATCTGTGTCTGTATGTACACAAAATTTATTAAATTTTATATAAAAATACTTCTAGGGTATATGTATAAACTGTGTTATGAAATGTAAAGGAAATATCGTGTTTATGCTTGGGTTTCATTTCCAAAATGCCCCATTTTATAGATGCTATATACAAATTAAATAGCCTGTATTCTAAAATCCGAAAAAAATCTGAAAACCGAATCCCTTCTGGTCACAAGAATTTCCGGTAAAGGATTCTGAGCTTATACTGATAATTTAAGGAGACTGGAATAAACAAAGTCAGTATTGATCCACTAAAAGACTGGAAGAAATTCACTGGTCCTTCTTGTCACGATGCATTCAAAAAAACAAGGGTTGCTTCAACTACAACAGAATTCTAGCCCACACTCTTGTCGAACTCAAATGTTCATGGTGCTAAATAATATAAGTCCTGTCGGATCCTATCCCAAAACAAATTGGCTACATCGGAGATAGATTAGAGCGTTACCTTGTGCAGACACTAGAAGTAACTATGATCTTGTTATCACGAAAAAGCTCCAGAAGATCAACAAACGCAAAAACACTCGAATAAAATCAAACTTTAACTAACTGAAGGTCCTTTCATTTGTGTGAGCTTCCAGTTAACAAATGGCAGTATGATTACACTACATTTAGTTGTTGAGAATTCTGGAATAATGTTTATTGATTTTTTTGTGATTGACACTTTTGTAATGTCAACGAATACTAGTTGTCACTTTTGTAATGTACGAATACCCGTTGTCACATTCGTAATGCTCGTTGTAGTAGAGACTTTGTAATCGCAGATACAACTATAGTAACGCCGTTGAACAATACTGGTGTCAGGCGCCTTCGAATAGCATTGGCACTAATAGTACTTGTTCGATAATACTCGCTCGAATAGTAATCCATATAGTGATCTAAATAGAGAAATAGTATAGTGAATAGAGTACAAAATAGCGGTCTGTATAGTAATAGAGGATAGACTAGAAATAACGATCCGTATCGTAATAGAGGATAGGCTAGAAATAAAGATCTGAATAGTAATGGGGTATATAGTAGAAAAAGAGATCCATTACTAATAGAGGATAGACTAGACATAACGATCGTTTAAAGTCAGACGTTTCTACATATGCGTTTTTCCCATAGCCACGTGATCCACTTTTCAATAATGGGATCGCCTGTTTGCTCACTGGCGATCTATGTTCAAACTCAATTGTCGGCAGCGACATTTTATTCTTATATAACAATTTTTTACGATTTATCAAACTTTGGCAGGTTATTTAAAGCCAAAAAATACATTATAATTTAAGAAAGATTTGAGATAATAGCAATTTATTGATACAATGTCTAATAATTAACCGACAGCTGGGGTGAGAAGTGATGGAGTCATACCTTTTCCCAAAGGGAGCTGCGCGTAAGTGAATACAATGTACCAGACTGGAATTTGAACTCGACTCTCCGATATCCCATTCAGAGCGGTTATACATGACACCACCCGCACACCCGAGCTTACAGCACCCGGTATTTCTAAGCGGTCACTCATCAAGATACTGAACAGTGATCGTACGAGAACCGGGGTTTCAACGTGACATGACCGCAAGACGCCGAAATAATGATTACCGCCTGAAACGCAGTCATAATTGAAGCAGCCAATGAAATGGTTGGCAAAGGACGCCGGAAAACTCGACTCCGGGTTACGGAGCGGATCTTGAACATGTTTGGGGAACGAAAGACGATGAAGAACGTTAGAACAAAGACAGCCGACTATAAAATGACGAGCAAACAGATCGGGCAGGGCATGAAGAAGGCTAAGGAGAACTTTGATCGAATAAGGGTGCCCAGAAATGAAAAATTGTTTGAACAAGAACAGCAAGAGAAAATAAATCTGAGTTGTTAAAACTGTAACAACTCAAAGGTAGTTCCGAGTTAACACGTTACAAAACACAGAAGGAAAATGCCTCGCCGAAAAAAAAAGCACCCAAAGAGTTGTGAGTTCAATACCTGGTTAAGGCAGTGGGGGAACTTGGAGAGGGGAATTAACAGGAAATAACTGATAACTGACATCCATTAGACATGGCGCGTGGAACTAAAACATTCTACCCCAGCGAGCGAAATAAAGGGTTCAGTTCGACATTCCAACCACCTGAAGAAAGCAGGAGCGTACAACGGCCGAAACGTTGTGATAAATAGGGCAACAAAGATGAGGACAATAGTCCGAATAATGTAAATAGTGCGAAAAAAAAAGACATAAAAATATAAACAGGATAATGAAAAGATTTATAAACATCAGACAAATGGAAACCCTAGAGTACCCAAAAGCCAGAAGTGAATAAATTATGATTTTCCAATACTATGTAGAAAAACAGTGGAAGTCATCATTGAAGAATGGAAAAGTATCAGACGTTAAAAACTTACCAGCTAAAGTGATAAAAAAAAAACGAAGACAGTGACAAATATCTTGACAAGAATCAGTAACAAAATCGAACAGACTGGAGAATGACCAATAGAGGAACTTCCTAATAATCATTATACACAGGAAAGACAACCTACAACTTTACCTTAATTACAGATCCGGTTGCTTCACAAAATATTCGGTACTGTGAAGCCTTATGCTGGACAAGAGTTTTGACCAGAATCATGTTGCTGGGGATATCTAACTCCAATAGACGCAACCACCGCTCGTTGGTGTTAAGAGAGGCCACAAAATTTCTCCCAGTCTTTTTGTAAATCCTTGCTGACTTTTTTTTTGTATTCCAGACTTCTTATAATACCATCATCTCGTTCTTGTCCACTTTGACAATAACATCATGTAGTTCGATGTATATTTCTTCCACTTGTTCGTCACCATAATCTGAGGGTGAAGCATAGGTTTTTACAATGGTGATTTTGAAGGGTGTCGTTTGCAGACTGATAGTAATAATCCTGCATCAAGGAACAGAATTTTTGTATCATAAAAAAAGCCTCTTCCTCTGATGTTCAGGTCTCCACTGAAGTAGAAAAAAAATACCATTTTGTTTCGATCTAGACCCAGTCTCGTCCATTTGATTTCACAAATTCCTATAAACGTACCATGTAAAATGTCTTCTCCTGTCCTTAATGTCCACTAATATCGAACTGAATATATCGGGTAACACTGACAAATTTTCATGATTAAGTAACAAAACTTGCAATGTTATCATATACATATGATAAAAGGTAGAATATGTGTGTGTGTGTTCGTTTACATACTTGATCGGATCTCCTACATTTTTCAACCGATTTCAACCAAATTTGACACAGTTACTTCTAATGGTCGCAGATTCCCCCTCCCAGTAAGCTATCAGCTCCCTGCAGAGCGGAAGGTGAATTTTTATGTATTTATTTTTGAATAAACACACCAGTGACTCAGAGTGCTGGATTCATAGAAGAGCATTGCATTATCAGCAGTAGCAGTCACTATTTACAAATTCGCGCTATCCCTCTAAAGTTCTCGACCGAATTTTATTTTTTTCGGGGGCGTAGATATTGCCATCCACAGACTGACTGTTTTGCTGTATCACAGATCATCAGTGTGGATAGACATGCGATTGCCTCAAGCCAGGAAGGAAATCCGATTGATTTTGCAGAGAGATATACCGAGTGTAACAGCAAAATGGTCCAAATCTTGTAAAAGAAAAATTGTCCATTTGTTACATTAAGCTTTTGATCGTTATATATTAGAAATGATTAAAGATATCTTACTGCAATTCTCCGAGGGTTTTTAAACAATATTGCATTCTATTTTGAACAATAAGAATGTATAATTACTCTCCAAGCTCAACAGAAGAATCGTGATGAAATCGATCATGAACGAAAAAGACATGGTCATCATTAATTATTCATAGCCAAGGATTGGAAGCTCATGAAGGATTGAAATAAAGTTCAAATATATATTATTCCAGGGTCATTTTACAACTTATTCAAGATGATCTTTGCCCTCTCTAACCTTCTAATTTTCTGTTCTGGATTAACAAAGTGCCTCACAGATTTCACGTACGCTTTGATTTTCAAGTCTTTTTTCACTGCTCTTTGGACTGTCGTAGCTAAAACTCCCTCTCTTACATCTCAAATGTCTTATGAATTGAGTTGGATCTTTTCTAATTGATCTCTTTAGCTCTAAGTTGAAATGATGTTCCCTCTAACTGTTGTGGCCTCATGATCTAGTTTCTCTTTCGAATGTTACCCCTTTTTAAAACGTATTCACCGTTCTCTTGATGGTTCTTGAATGAAGCCAAAGTATGAATGTTGGTATCATTATTGAAGGCCTGCATGATCTTTTTCATCTCACCATTGCTCATTTCGGACGTCAGTGGAGCTGACACAAAACGATTTTAACCTGTTCCACGAGTTAGAAATGAAAGAGAAGAAATCCTTAAAATAGAATTTATGGTTGCATCTAGCCATTTCCACTGTAACATAAAGGGGTCTTTCCACCAATCTGGTACTGCACTTAAATTTACAAAGTCTAGGTACCATGTAGAAAAGTTCCTTAGAACAATTACCATGAAACTATTTACCGAAAAGGCACAGGAAACCTGCGTTACGGCGGTGGGAAAGTGATTAAAATCGAGATGCCAGGTCAGGCTCAATAAAATTGCAGATTCTTCTTTGTATTTTATCTCTGAATATATTGCGGAAGCACCATACCGGATGTGGTAGCAAGGTTTAATGAATAGACGAATGATAGACTTATAATGGCGAGAAAAATTGTCTAGCACGACACAGTGAACCAGCTTTTCTAGCAATAGATCTAGCAATTGATTCAATATAATGTTTTCATATCATATCAGCTGAAAATGTTACCCCCGCTCCGAAAAGGCGAAATGCGTCACTTTCTTGGAGGTTAGTATCTGATGGCAAACAAAAAGGGTTCGTCGGTTAAAAGACGATTAAAAGAGAGCAGTTTCGTTTTGAAGGCGTTAGTTTTTTGCCAATGTTCTTCGAGGCGATTCTTTGTTCTGGTAAGCTTGCGTAAATTGGTAAAGAAAGGAAAGAAAGCGAAACACAGGAGCAAAAGATCAAACTAAAACGTTGTCTTTCTGAAAGCAACATTTGAATATTCGTTTAACATATTTCAATGACGCCATGCGATTAACCAGTTTTTCTTGTTTACTCTTTTATTTCCGTAGTGGCTTCAATCTTTACTGTGTACTCTATTTCCATCATGAAAAGAAACGGATTAAAAATTAATAAAACAATTACAATGCCTTCAGTTAAAAACTTCGTACAATTTAACGCTATTGCGTCTATTAATCCAAGTACCCCCTTGTGCAAATTAATTGTAACAACAGCTTTCCTTTCTTTCACCATACGGCAGTTTTAGACCCACTGGAGTGACAGGGTGTAATCGATTTCTATTTTTTCCTCAAATTAGGTCATTTGCAGTGTTGTGCAGTAATATGAATCTATTTTCGGGGTGTATGATGAAATTTGTATGGCCTTGAAAAATATTGCACATCCGTGAGCATCAGATTTTTATAACGCCCAGACACTATTGTCTCGACTGTCGATTACTTGTCCTACGGCCATTGTCTGCGATGGACGTTACTCCAATGAAGCGTATGAAAATTGTAACGCTACACGAACACACTGGCAAGCCTTATCAGTGAGCAAATCAAAGTACTGTCTACTGGCTCGGAAACTCTCCTGATTTAAATCCAGTCGAGAATCTGTTGTCAATCTGCAAGGAACGTCTTCGTGGAATGGATATACGAAGTACTAACATGTGCATTGGACCCTGTTTCATTGGAAAATACGAAAAAAGTAAATAATAACGGAATTATTCATTTTGTTTCAATTAATTTGCTCAAGGGTGTATATATGACTCAATAAAATGGAAGAAAGATTTTTAATTAAAGATTTTGGGCAATTTAAGACGGTTACAACTATTACAAAATTCAACACACAGAAGAATAAGATGAAAAAAAAATCAGTTAAAATTTAATAATGATGACAATACCTTCATCTCAGAAATTTAAAAAAAAAAAATTAAAACTAAAAATTTGGACAGTGGACAAACTATTAACTATAAGAAGACATAATGTATGGTCGTTCAGAAGTAAGACAACCAAAAGTGTGTTGGTGTCATCAAAATCAGGGAAGTAAAAAAAAAAAAAAACTTATCTGGCTAAAGTTGTAACAGACGTCGGAATATATGACACAGAAATCCGAAGTCGGAATAGCAAACAGTTTCTTTCAGAAACTGTAAAAATTATGATCAGTAAATTTTCGTTAGAAGCAAAGAAAATAGTTCTGAACTGCTAAATAATTTCAGTCTTCTCATGTGACTGTGAATACTGGAGGAGAGTCGAAAAGAAGACAACGTGATTTTATAAACATATGCTGAGAATACCATGGAAAGAAAGGGTTTCCATTTTCCTTAAAACTATCTCTTTGCAAGAAGATTGTTTTAAGGAGAATGGAAATCCGACGGACACATACTTAAAATAAAAAAGAACCAGCTTAAATTTCTGGGAAATTAGTAAGGAATGTTTGGAAAAATTAACACTCACAAGACGATATAAAGAAAAGCGAGGCAGAAGAAATGAACGAGTTACCTCCCTACATAATGTTTGTGGGAATGACGGGGACAAGAAAAGAGTCAAAAGTTGCTTAGAGATACTCGGGACAGGAAGCTGTGGGGGGCCACGATTGTCCGTTTCATGAAGGGATACAGTACATGAAAGTAGAAAGAATTTCTGTTTAAGTTTTATTTATAGAAAAGATTGTTGAACGTTTTTTTTCTGTATTTGATGAAGTGTCATTTTTTTGTCAGTGAATAAATTACACTGTCCCATTTCTTGTCTCTGTGAGGCATAAGAATATATAACTGGTCTGACACAGTGGGATTACGGCCGTAGCGCGTTGAAATAACGGTTCTCGTATGATCAGCGAAGTTAAGCAACGTCGAGCTTGGTCAGTAACTGAATGGTTGACAGCTTGAGAATACCAGGTGCTGTAAGCTTGGATGTGCGGGTGGTGTAAAGGATAAAGTTTCGTAGAGCCAAGTTCCAATTTCAGACATGTTCATTATATTCACTTACGCTCAACTATCGCCCGGAGACGAGGCACGGTGGAGTAATGGATAGCAGCTTGGATTGAGGAATCGGAGAGCCGAGTTCGAATTCCAATCGAATTCATTACATTCGCTTATGTGCTAATATCCTTCTCGAAGGTATGAATCTTCTTCTTTTCGCCCCAACTATGAGGCAGGACAGACCGGATTTTATAGCCTTGGATGGCAACTGGTTTAGAAGGACCGGGAAAAATATGCCTCGTCAGTCATGCATCGAAAAATTCGTGATCGCCTAACGCATGGCACATAACTGACTGACCCTTGGAAATGGTATGAATCCAGCTTTCCCCCTAAACTATGGGTTAATTATTAAGATTTGTATCGGTAAATGATTACCATCTAAAAAAAAAAATAATACTAAAAAATATTTTTCTGGCTTTAAATAACCTAGTTTGATAAGCCGTAAAAAATGAATCAATCCGGCACACTAGTTCCATGCGTTATCCCCAAATATTCCAATCACGCATGTAGGTCACATGCGTGATTGGAACGAAGGGAGTTGCGATGTCGTGACAGTAACAAACGTTTTCGCATATAGTCATTAAAGAAACGAAAAATATTAATGGGAAAGCGGGATTTGAACTTCACAGCCGAGAGTGCCTCGTTAAATTATTCACCATTGAGCTATTTTCTCATGACCGCATAGTTGTTAAATTGCTAATATCAATGGCAAAGGCTTCTCGCTATTGTACGATAGGAAAAAAACACGCTATAATAGCGGACATATTAAAGGGGTGATAAGTCAAATATTGATTGAATTTGGCCCGCGAAAAAAAAAATCGAGAGTTAATAGAATATATAATTAATAGAAATAGAATCGAGAATTTATACTCACAGTGTCTTTGTTTGCGTTGATCAACAGACACTTCCTGCAATGTCGACATTTTCCCTCCCTAATTGAGATGGAGCCGATGAAAATGGCATTGTTACCAATCTAACCAACGCCTGTCGGATACAAAGCAAGTTTAATTTGGAAGGCCTTTAGGAAATTTACACAAGTAGAACACACAAATACACACATATGTAAAATATATTATCCTACATTTAATAATAATCACTTGTATGTACTCTCTTCCAGTATTTTATAAGAACACAACCAATATATATATATATATATATATATATATACAGAGAGAGAGAAAGAGACCACAGTAAGTATTTTAGTTATTAAATAAAGTATACGCACGCACACACGCGCGCGCGCGCACACACACACACATATATATATATATATGTGTGTGTGTGTGTGTGTGTGTGTGTGTGTGTGTGTGTGTGTATGCATGGATGTGTGTGTAGCAGAAAGTGAGACTGACGTGTCGAGTTCAAATTCCATCCGAAGCCGTATTCTCATAAATATCGTTGGAAAGGTACGAATCCCTCTCTTTTCCCCTCCAGCTATGGATTAAATAGCAAAGCAGAATGGATTCTCTCGCTTTGGTTGGGAGCCAGTCTAGGAGGAGGACCACATTGCATTCAAACTCAGTTGGGCGTGGTGCTAGCAAGTCCACTCCCAAAACCCCAACTTGCGACGGAAACCACAGTATCAAAAATTACTGTGATGCAAATGTGGTCCTGTATTCCACAGCAGCGTCTACAGAGATAGCATATATGCATATGCCATGTAATTGAATATTAATTAAGTGTGTGTGTGTTAATATATGGATTTTTCAGTTGAATTCCCCGTATAAGGGGTTAGCAACTTCTTAGGTTTTGAATTCAGGATAGTTCTTCTCCTTGACTGGTTGCCAATCAAGGCTAGAGAGTCCAGTTTGACCTGCTATTTGACCCATAACTGGCAGGAGAAACATCGATGCATACCTTTGCGCGAAAGTGAAGGTAACTTCCAAGTTACGAAAAACTTGGTAATCCGTATGGGTAGTCCCAAGGAGGATGAAATCCTGAGAGCTTACTGTTAATTCAGAGCTAATAATTTAAAGCAAAACAGGCCACTTTAAGGCTCCATTGTAATAGTTTATTTCACCAGAGACCTTTTAAAGGACGCTGGATCATCAGACATCACTTCCAAAAGGTGAAACGAAAAATGAAATATTTATATATTTATATTTTGGGTTGACACCGTTTTTTATTATTATTTAATTTTATGGTTCCTACGAGATATATTATTGTTTGGGTGGAATATTATTGGTGTTATAATAATTAAATGAATTGTTGTTCAAATTAAAAAATATAAACGCAGAAAAAAAGAAAAATACTGGATTTTAAAATTAAATACATATAAACTAGGGTTAAATAAAGACATGGGTATTTTAAATCTTTATAAATATTTCAATAGTTAAACATTTTTTTTTAGATATAGTTAACTTTTTTATTATTTTTTTTTAAACAAGATCTAAAATATTATTACAGTTAGATTTATTTTATATTCGAACAGAGTGGCGTTCCATATCACGTGACGTCCGCATCTCGCGACGGGCGCTACTTGGAAACAAACAGTTATTTCTGAAGAAAGATTGAGGTCAATCTGAAAGATCAAATATATATATAAATAAATAAATACTTTCATAAAAAACATTATTATCTTTTTTTAATTTGCAACTTTTTCTATATATACATATTAAGAAAGTATACGTGGTATCTCATTATGTATATATATATATATATATATATATATATATATATATATATATATATATATATATATTAAATAGATCTGTTACATAAAAGTGAGCACTGTTTTTACTTAAACTATAGAGCATTTATATATATATATATATATTTGTATACGATCGCTCGCTCGTATACCTAACTATATTCATCCATTCGTTTATATATATATATATATATATATATATATATATATATATATATATATATATATAATGGACTCTCCTGTCGGTTTCGACGTATGAGAATCTGCCAGCTGATTGATTCAGTTATGAATATATATATATATATATATATATATATATATATATATATATATATTGAATTTAATCCAATAAGAGCTCAATGTAAGTTACAGAGCAATATATAATGATAAATTAAGAAGAGACCCTAAAATCTATATCGGCTATAATTTATTTCATGAATCTTGCT